AGCAGGGTTTAGGGCTGTTGTGCATAGGGTCGCTATGAGTTGGAAACGACTCGACGGCACCTAACAACAACAACAACAATCCTAAAAAAAAAAAAAAATACTATCCTATTAATAACCTTGGCATCTTTGCCATTAAAGTCAATTAGCCATGAAAAAGATTTCTCCTTGCTCTCCCTATTCTGCTCCATTGATTTATAGAGATAGAGATAGAGAGAGAGAGAGAGAGAAAGAGAGAGAGAGAGGGAGAGATATTCACGACAGTGCCACACTGCTTCCATATTATAACTTTCTTAAGAATTCTTGATCAAGTAAAATTAGTTCTTTTACTTTGTCTTCTTTAAGTATTTTTTTACTGTACTAAGTTCTTTGTCTTTCCATGTAAATTCTAAAATCAGCTTATCATTTTTTTCAATATCAGAAATTTTTTTTAATGTGGGGATTATTTTTCTTATTAAAAATTTGTTTGGGACTGACCTAAAAATTTAGATCAGCTTGGAGAGGGCAGCCACATCATCAGTGCTGGGAATTCCAAGACATGAACAAGCTTTCTCTCTCCATTTTCTTAAGTACTTTGACATTTTGCTTTGTAATGTGCTGTAGCATTTAGAGTATAATAATGTACAGCTTTTGTTCAATTCGTTCTCAAGTGGGTGTTTTTGCTATTATGAAGAGTTGTTTTCTTTCCTTTTTCACTTTTTTTCTTTCCTCATTGTTGCACGTTTTCCTCCCTGCCTCTTTGCCCCCGACCCAGCCCACCCTGCTGGGCATCTCTTGCTCCAGGTTGTTGTCATAGCCTCTCATTTTCTAATTGTGCATTCGTAGGATGTAGAAATAAAATGCATTTTGTATGTTGACTACCAAAATGACTTATTCATTCTAACACGTATTTTATAGTGTCTTTAGATTTCTCCAGGGAGCCCTAGTGGTTCAGTGGTTAAGCCATTACACTTCTAACCAAAAAGTTGGTGATTTGAACCCACAGCTATTCCAAGGAAGAAAGAGGAGACAATTTGCATCCATAAAGATTTGTAGTTGTGGAAACCCTGTTTAGCGACTCCTCTCTGTCCTTCAGGGTCACTATGAGTTGAAATCAACTGGATGACAGCGGTTTCAGGGGTTGTCTAGGGAGGCCCCGTGGCATAGTGCAAAACATGTCAGGTTGGTAATTGCAAAGTCAGCAGTGTGGATCCACAACCCCTCCTCAGGAGAAAAAATGAGAAGTCCACTCTTGTGAAGACTCACACCCTCAGAAACCCGGTGGAAGGACACTGTGAGTCTAAACCGGCCACGTCCGTTGATGAAGCTGTCGGGAGCTGTGGTAGTGCAGGGCTCCAAGCATTCGGCTTCTTGCCAATGACAGGTGCTTGGAGCCCTCCAGCCACAACAGGACAAGGAAAGGTGTCTGCTCTGTAAAGGGTTACAAACTTGGGAACCCTGCAGGCAGTCCCACTCATTCTATGAGCTGCTATGAATAGGCACCACCTTGTGGCCATGAAAGTAGACTGTTGCTGCTTTGTCATTGTTTCTGTGATCAAGTCAGCCACAACCTACAGCCCTGTGAACAAAAGATGTGACCCTGCCTTGGCCTGTGCCATCCTCACCGTCTCTGCCTGGCTGAGCGCATTGTTACAGTCCCAGTGCCCACCCATCTCGTGGAGGGGCCTCCACTCTTACACTTTGCTTCTCCTGGTGTGAAGTCTTTCTCCAGGTCCCTCCTGAAAACATGTCCAAAGTCTGTGTGATGAGGTTTCACTATGCTTGCCTCGAAGCTGCACCTTGTTGCATTTCATCCAAAACGAATTTGTTTATTTTTGGTAGTTCATGGTATATTCCGTGCTCTTTGCCAGTAGCACAATTCAAAGGTATTGATTCCTCCTTGTCATTCTTACTCATGGTTCAACTTACAGCTGCATAGGAAGCAACTGAAAATAACAAGGCTTGGATCAGGCAGTAGGTAGAATAATCTAAATGTATCTGCAAATAAAAATGTTCTCCTATCTCTTTCTAAATTGTATGTCCTTTAAACCTTTTTCTTGTTTTGCACTGGCTAGTACCTCAGTACATGGGTAATTAAAAGCAGTAGAACAAGGTGCTCTAGGCCAGTTCCTCTCTGTCCCCAGGCAAGCAGGATCCCTCCCTCTGCCCTCCTGGTGTGGACTGAACCTTCACTATTTCTTGCTGGTCCATGAAGTGCTTGCATACATTGGGAACTGGACAGAGCTTCCTGGTGGGAAGGGGACCAAGGGAAGCGAACCACCAAGGGCCACATTTTGTCATTGTATTTGTGAAGGTCAAGTCCACGTATGTCTCTGCATGATGTTCCCTCTGTACTGTGGAGGCATCCATCCTGCCTTGACCCCCCAGGAATCTGCTGGACCTTGTCCCCATGACCATCCAGCAGCATCATCCACCCAGACCCCAGCCCCAATGCACAACACACCAACCCTGCATCGCTATTCAAATTTATTCCTGGGAAGCAAGGGAGAAGATAAAGGCTCAGAAAATAAATATCTGCAAAGGACCAGCCAACTCAGAAAGAGAGGAAGCTCAGAGAGTCAGCAAACAGGACGGTGCTGGCAGGGAGTGGGGCCTGGGTGCTGGTCCCACAGGCTCACGGGCTCCCGACACGACGGAGCCTGGGGTCAGAGCGCCGGGTGCGGCGCTGGGCAAGAGGGAGCTCGCAGACAGTGTCCTGGCACAGGCAGCTCTCGATGTGAGGGTAGCTGTGGCGCAGCGTGCCTCCATTGGGGCAGGGCAGCTCCACCTCACGCTGGCTAATCCGCTCCTCCTTGCAGCACGAGCACTTGTGGTCCAAGGACTGGGCCTCGGACGAATACCTGGGCAGGGAGAGTGAGGTGACGATCACTCCCTCCAGGACCATAAGCCGTCCCAACAACCCCTGCAGGACCAGAGTGTCCACAAGACAGGGACTCACATGGCAAATGTCCCACAGGACCCTGAGCAGTAGTTAGTGACCACTTCCTTGGTGCAGCCCGCGTGTGTGATATTCCTCTTAACAGGGATGGTGGAGCAGGGAATCCTCGTCTCGTTGCGGTGGATACCTGGAAGAAGCAAGAAGTTCTGGGAGTCACACAGGCTCCCCTGCTGCTTCCTCTTACTCCTGCAGGGCTATTCCCCACGTCAAGCAGTGTGCCGTCGGCCACCCATCAGAGGCGAGTCCTCACCTCCTTCTCTGGTTGAGAAACTAGATTCTGTACTGTTCCTTCTGGGATGGAGTTTGAGTTCCTGGAACTCAAGGTGCACCCCCTCAGTGTCCAGATGTGAGTGGGAGGCACAGGAATGCCTCCAGACCCTCAAGAAGACCCCAACTGAACTCCCTGACCAGTCCCTGACCAGTCCCTGACCTTAGGGCCATTCACCCAGGGTGGTATACTTACACTTCCTGCAGCAGCCGTTGGGCATCAGTGTAATGGTACCCTGGTGGGAGGAGATGAGAACGAGCCCGTGTCACCCAAAGCCACCAAACTGAGGACCAAGAACCCCCTCCTGCCTCAGGCTTGGAAGAGGTTATTCTACAAAAGCACCCCAGGGCAGGGCTTCCTGTTACCCCATCCCTGAATAAACTCCCCCCTCACCGGGACACAGTCGCTGGGGTCAAAGTCGGGGCAGGTGATGTTGGAGACAGATGAGATGAGCTGGTTGTGAATTTTCACGCAACTGAAGAAGGAGCAGTTGTTCCTGGGATCACGCTTTATGTCACCAGGCTAGAAGCAGAGCAGAGGCAGGCTGAAGACCTCAGTGTCCGCAGATCAGAAACACCCCAGTGGCCCCCACATGACGCCAAGTGAAGCATCTCTGGCAGGATGAGGATGTGAGTCCAGGATCTTGAGAAAGTGACCTCTGGCTGAGGTTTCAGAGACACTCATAGTGGGTGCAAAAGGACATATCCACTTGCAAACCACAGAACCTGGGAATGGGCCGAATTTGGAAAAAGAGTACTGCAGGTTAACTAAGATCTGGAGATGAGATCCTTATGAACCCTGAAGGTGGACCTCTATACAAGGACCGGATCCTTAGGAGACATCAGAGTCCTCTGAAGAGAGGCAGGAGACCTTAGCGTGGAGGGTGGGACATCGCCAGAAGCTGGAGGTTAGGAAGGTTCCTTCTTGACAGCCTTGGCAGGAGCAATGCCCCGCTCACACCTTGATTGTGAACCTTTGGCCTCCAGATGTGAAACACGCATTGCTTAAAGTCATCACTTTGTGGGTCTTTGTTAGGGCCAAGACAAGAAAGTCATGCAGAGAGTACCCCAGTACCGGAACTGGAGGATTCTGTAGCCTCCTCTGACCCTTCCTTCCTCCTGTCTGACCCCGCCCACAGCCCCGGGCACCACCCACAGCCTCGGGCTCCGCCCACAGCCCGGGGCACCACCCACAGCCTCGGGCTCCGCCCACAGCCTCGGGCACCGCCCACAGCCTCAGGGACCTACACACTACGCAGACCCAGCTCACCTTCAGGATGAGGTTCTGGTTGTCCTGATGGTGGATGATGCAGTGTGTCTGCTCACACTTCTTGCAGCATTCGCCAGGAGCCTCCACGAGCTCAAAGCCCTAGACACACAGGCAGGCTGAGTCTGCAATGGCTGCCCATCCCACCTCCC